CTCTCTCTTTCTCTCTCGGATGAAAAAAAGGCTGTTTGACGGAGAACTAAAGTACCCAACAATTAACCCTCTTTCATCCCTTAATCTCTGTAACAAAAAAAAAACTGCCATGAAACTCATGGGCCTGTGAGAAAAATAATAGTTTCGCGGCGCACAGTGACTCCCGGTAATTAAAAATTGACCTCTCCCCTCCTAATTGAGATTAAGGGATGAAAAAAGGGCAGTAGATGAGTACTTTAATTCTCAGTCGAACTGGTTTTTTTTCATCCCTTAATCTTAATTAGGAGGGGAGAGGTGAATTTTTAATTACCGGGAGTCACTGTGCGTCGCAAAACAATCATTTTTCTCACTGGCTCATGACTTTCATAGCAGTTTATATTTGTTTGTTACAGAGATTAAGGGATAAAAGAGAGTTAATTGATGGGGAATTTAATTCTCCGCCGAACTGCCATTTTGTCATCCCTTAATCTCAATTACGAGGGGAGAGGTGGATTTTTAATTCGCGGGCGAATGGTGAAAAGTCAGTGTGCGCCGCGAAAGAATTATTTTTCTTACTGGCCCCTGAGTTTCATGGCTGTTTATATTTTTTTGTTACAACGATTAAGGGATGAAAGAGGGTTAATTAATGTAGAATTTAATTCTCCGTCGAATTGCCCTTGTTTCATCCCGTAATCACAATTAGGAGGGGAGAGGTGAATTTTTAATTCGCGGGCGAATGGTGAAAAGTCAATATACGCTGCGAAAGAATTATTTTTCTTACTGGCCCCTGAGTTTCATGGCTGTTTATATTTTTTTGTTACAACGATTAAGGGATGAAAGAGGGTTAATTAATGTAGAATTTAATTCTCCGTCGAATTGCCCTTGTTTCATCCCGTAATCACAATTAGGAGGGGAGAGGTGAATTTTTAATTCGCGGGCGAATGGTGAAAAGTCAATATACGCTGCGAAAGAATTATTTTTCTTACTGGCCCCTGACTTTCTTGGCAGTTTTTATTTTTTTGTTACAGAGAAAAAGGGATGAAAGAGGGTTAATTGATGGGGAATTTAATTC